TGAAAACTCTCTCACTAGACGTTTCATGGTCTAATTTGGTTTTATTAAACGTTTCATGGTCTAATTTGGTTTTATTAAACAAAATTCGAGGTGAAATTCGAAGTCATTCGGGGTTTGGTATGTTTTCGTGATTTTTGGTTGATTTTTGTGGTTTGTTTTGGTTTGGGTTTTATTTGATGTTAGTTATTCGGTTGATTTGATTTTGTTTGTTTTTGGTTAGATTTTTGTAGTTCGTTGATTTGAACGTTGATTTTTTTTTTTTTTGTTATTTTTTGGTTTGATATTCGTTAATTTTAGTGGCTTTAATTTTGTTTGATTTTCATGTTCGGATTTTCGTTAATTTTATTTAGAGTGGAGTTATCAGCTTTTGTGCAGTGGTAGCTGATTGGGGTTTTCGGGGTGAAGTGATAGGAATCCGTGGTGCCTCGGTGGAATTTATGAGGTGGCTAGAGTTTTTGTGGTGGCTGGTGGAGTTCCCAAGAGTGGAGGTGGTGTTTTCGAGGTCACTGGGTGGTGTATTCGAGGGTGGTTGGTAGTTTTTTAGGGTGGGCAGTGCGGGTGGGTAAAGGTGCATTGGGTAGGAAGTGGTGGTGGGACTGGTTGTGAAATACATCAGTACAGGAAGTGGGTGCTTTTTTTGTTTTTTATTTATACTTTTAGAAGTTGTGCATAAACTAAGGACCTTAACTTTTACCTTTTTCACTGTTAAGGACCTCTTATTTTTATTTTCACCATTAAGGTCATATTGACACTTTTCTGGTAAATCTTAACCATACTAGTTAAGGGTTCGTTTGACATTGCTGTGGTTTTCTGTTTTTTGGTTTTTTGTTTCTTAAATGTATAGGATATATATATATATATGCCCCATAATGAATCAAAAATCGTCATGATAATTTTGAAAACTGACAATAGAAAAGTGGAAACACTTTTTTTTTTGTTTCCTGTTTTTGGTTTCCAAAAAAAAGGAAACTGAAAACAAAAAATGATGTCAAATAAGCCCTAAATTAATGGGTCTCTTTCGGTTAAACTTTAATACTTTTTACTAGGTTAAATCCCGTGCAATGCACGGTTGTTAAATATTTTTACAATTTTATTATAGATTTTTTAATATAATGACGTGAGTATTAAAAAATATAGAGTATATTAAAAATAAAAGCATGCAAGAGAAAATATATAAAAAAAAACATGTAATAGTTATAAACTTATAATGGATAGTTTAATCTTTTAGGAAAAGATTTATATTTTATATTAAACAAATTATGTCATAATTTAGATATAATTTTTTTTTCCTTAAGTAACAATAATTTTTTTAGAAGGTACTTTTGGCGGGAAATTTTTTAATAATACATTGACAAGTGTGTCTCAAAATTCGCTTTTAGTAGTATGTAATTGATTGATGATTTTTTTTCCTTAAGTAACAATAATTTTTCTAGAAGGTACTTTTGGCGGGAAATTTTTTAATAACACATTCACAAGTGTGTTTTAAAATTCGCTTTTAGTAGTATTTAATTGATGATTAATATTTAAATAAATGGCAATTTACTTAAATTTTTTTGGAGAAAAATAAATTTAATCATACTTAGCCCCCAAAGGCCCAAACGTTACCAAATGTTACATATCGGTACTGGGAATGGCCCCGTCAAAAAAATTAAAAAAAAAAAAGAAGAAGAAAGAATTGCGCCTACCCATCTTCCATCCCTCTCTATTACTCTAACTTCTTTGTAGCAAATTTCAACTAGAAATTAAAGGTAAGACATTAGATAATCAATTTCTTTGTTTTTATTACATAATTAAGGGTGTTATATCATTGTGTTTTTGTATTGATTTAGGATTTTGAAATATATTAATTTTAAAAAGTTAATTGGATTATTTGTGGTAGATACGGATGGAATTACATATATGTTAAATATTGTTGTATTAATTAAATTATGGGAAGAATGGTTTGCATGTCTTTAGATTGTGAAATTTTTACTGTTTTGTTAAACTAATAATTAATATAAAGTAGAGAATGAGGTTGCTAAAAATTCAATCATGTCTTCCTACAAATGCTTTCCGACTTTGTGAGTAATAAGATAAGGCCACAAGTAGTGTGCAGTATCATATGCATCAGGACCGTTTCTGAGATTTAGGAGGCCTGGGGCAAAAAAATATATTGGGGCCCTATATTTTATAATATAAGTGTATGAGATAAATTCCTTTTATTGCTTTTTAAACCAACTTTTTTTTAAGGGGTGTATTACTAAAATTTACATCATATTGTTATTTTTTAAAAATAAAAAAAAAATAGGTGTTGTAAAATACAAACTATTTATTAACAACGACAACTTTATGTAAATACAAATATCTCATCTGCCAAAATTAAAATAACATTAAGAATTTAAGATCAACCCGCTATAGTAATTGAAGTTCATCGATAATATCTTCGTGATCCAATATCTAGCAAACATACAAAATCATGATTAAATTGTTCTCCAGTATAAATTATTAAATGAAAATATATGAATTGAAATAGTATTGAAATAGGAATTAAGGTATTTTTTTAAATTGAATACAAATTCAAATGTGTAAATAATATACAGTATATTTTATTTTCAATTTCAGTGGGTCTTTGATAGAATAAGTAAGTTTGGTTTTTTTTACAAATAGGAAAAAATTATGTTTTTCAAATAAAAAAGGATGAATAAATAAAAGAAAAGAATTAAGTTTTTTTTTTTTTGAGGAAATATAACGACAATGAGGTAACTGTAGTAAAAAAATTGAAAATAATGAGTCTCGAACCTTTGACCTGACAAAGTGAACATAAGTTACTCAACCACCAGGCCACATGAGAAAACATAATCAATTTTGCATGCAATATGTATATAATCTTATTCTATAGACTGAAAAACTAGAAAAATTGGGCCCTTCCTATCCGTGGGCTCTAGGCATGTGCCCCAGTTGCCCTGGGTCAGTTACGGCCCTGCATAGCACTAAGAGCACTCCCAGCAGTGAGTGAAAAAACCCTCACGAGAGAAACTTGAGGTGTTAAAAAAAAAACCGTACTCTACAACAATGAGAATAATTCCTCTCATCCTTGAGGAGAATGAAAAACGCTCATAACTTGAGGGGATTTAAGAATGAATAGTGATTGTGTGGGGCCCACGAGCTGCTGACGCCACTTGCTTCAATTTGCTGAGAAAAGAACCAAAACGACGTGTTTTGGTGCTGCATGCATCAAAAACAACGCCGTTTGGTTTCGTTGCCAGCAAAAAAAATTTAAAATGCATGGGTACTGGCGCGCGTCAGAGCAACGAATGAGGAGGCGACACGCGTCAGTCCCATGTAATTGAGCCAATCAGATTTTTTCTCTTTTTCCCAACGGTTATATTCAAAAAAACGGTAATATTGCCGTTAAAAATATTAAAAAAAAAAAATTCACCAACGGTCATAAAAAATTTTTCTCTATAAATAGACATGCATTTTGATATACTTTCAAAAACACCAAAAATCTCCTATATTCACTAATTTCCTAATCCTCACTTCTTATTATTATAATTATTATTTACGTTTTTCTGAAAAAAAAAAATATTATTATTATTATTATTATTGTTATTATCATTATTATTATTATAATTATCATTAATATTATTGCTGTTGTAGTTGTTTTTATTTTTTGAAAATATAATTTAGTTTTTGTTCTTTTATTAATTGTTGATTTTTTTACTAATTATTGTTTAAAGCTTTATTTATTTTTTCCAAAAATAAAAAGCTTTATTACTTTTCTACTCTATTAACTTATGGATCCTAATAACCCTAATTTTTCTAATCATTTCTCTGATTTGGGTGATGATTTTGTCACTAATCCTCGATTTCAGCTTTTCCTACAAAGGCTTGGAAACAATTCTTTGCAAAATTCAACACAACAAACACCTCATCAAACTCCTTTCCAAAACACTACCTATGAACCACATTCACCTCTTGTTTATCAAGGCACTGATTCTCAATTAGATGATGAAATGGAAGAAAATGTTCCAGACACTCCTCAATACTCTCCACCACTAACAAAAGGAAGTCGAATGTGGTCTGTTGCGGAGGATGAAGCTCTAATTGGTTTGTATCTTCAATTCAGTGAGGATGCAATTGTTGGTACAAGCCAAAAAGCAGCTGCGCTATGGCGAAAAATATCTGCAGCATATGATCAAGCACAGGTTGAGAGACCCCACATCCTGCCGCCAAAACCTTTGAGGAGTTTGGAAAGCCGTTGGAGAAGGATGGCAACTGATTTATTACAATGGAGTAGTTGCTATGACGAAGCTGGTAGGGCAACTGGAAGTGGTTACAACGAAGCAGACCGAATTGCAATTCAGAGTGCAACGACACATCAATTTTATTGCAGAGATTGCATTGAAGTGTCATATGGACTATATATACATGCATGACACATCAATTTCATTGCAGAGATTGCAATGATACATGAATTTCAATTCAGAGTTACTCACATGCAAAATCAGAGCAACTCACATGCATTGATAGTCACTTGGACTATATATACATGCAAGTGTTATTCAAAACGGAAAGAATCCCAAACAAACCAACTATCAAACCATAACCAAAATATGTCTTTCATTTCCTCCACCTCAAGCTTTAGTTCTTCTGATTTCTCAAATAACGTTGAATTTGATCGGTTAGTTGATGATTATGCTGCTAACCACCTACCTCATATTTTAATTCCCCAACACTCATCACAAGAATCCCAGCTTAATAATGATATAGCAAATGTCCCGGAGCCTAAAAGGGATAGGGAAAGAGAAAAAGGGCATGTATAACTATATAACGATTATTTTGCGAGTAATGCAGTGTATAACGACAACCAATTCTGCCGTAGATTTCGTATGCGAAGATCTTTGTTCTGTCGCATTATGAATAAGGTGGTTGAAGGGGATCAATTCTTCTAACAACGTCCGAATGCAGCTGGAAAGCTTGGTTTATCACCGTTGCAGAAATGCACCGTTGCAATAAGAATGTTAGCGTATGGCGTAGCCCCCGATGTCGTGGATGAATATCTACGTATCGGCCAAACAACCTCAAGGAATGCATTGCAACATTTTTGTCAGGGGGTTATTTCACAATTTGAAAGTGAATATCTACGTAAACCTACAGATGAAGATTTAAGGAGAATCCTTCATCAAAATGAATTGCGTGGGTTTCCAGGCATGATTGGTAGTATAGACTGCATGCATTGGGAGTGGAAGAATTGTCCTACGGCTTGGAAAGCACAATATGCTGGTCGTAGCAAGACTGCAACCCTCATTCTTGAAGCCGTTGCTGATCAGGATTTATGGATTTGGCATGCGTTCTTTGGAATGCCTGGCTCATGTAATGATCTTAATGTCCTTTACCGTTCACCGGTGTTTGATGATGTTTTACAAGGTCGTGCACCACCAAATTTTTTTTGGGTAAACGGACATCAATATGAGTTGGCCTACTACTTGGCAGATGGGATTTATCCGAAATGGCCAACTTTTATACAAGGTATTACACATCCTCAAGTTCAAAAAGACAAGTTGTTTGCTGATCAACAAGCAGCAGTTCGGAAAGACGTTGAACGGGCTTTCGGAGTTTTACAAGTTAGGTTTGCTATACTACGACAACCTGCACTGGCCTTCGACGAAGATATTCTTTGTGACATTATGAAAGCCTGTATAATAATGCACAACATGATCGTCGAGGATGAACGACACAACTACACACGGGCAGATGTTTTGAGACGATACTACGAAGAAGATCGACCACAACGTCCAGCAGCGCGGGCGGGACCGAGCACAAGTGCCACGGTGAATAACAACGAGCCATTTGAATTCAACGTCGGGCGGCCGCCCAACATAGATTTCAACGCGTATTTTCAGAGGAGGATTGCCCTTCGTGATAGAGAAATTCATTCGTCTCTCAAACAAGATTTAGTAGAACACATATGGCAGAACTTTCGTCATAATACGGCCGAATAAGCAAAGTTGTAGAATGTAATCGTATCGTGTTTAAGTTTTAATACTCGTCCTCGTGTATTATTTTAGCTCAAACCGCTTTTATTAAGTTCGTAAACGTACTGTTATTTAATATCCGATGTATTTGTATTGTCGTTTATGTGTTCATTTCAAAAATGTGCTTCTTATTATGTAATCGTTTAAGTTTAAGAAAACATCTTTCGTACAATCTATAATTGTTGTAATTTTTATTAATTATTATATTCTAATAAGAGCGTAAAATTCAAAATTATATTGAAAATGTTCTTTTTATTAATTTTACCCGTCATTAAATAAATACAAATATAAAACAAAAAAAATAAAAATTTACAAAAATAATTAATAAATTATTAAAAAATATTACATTACAATTAAAATGTAATGAAAAAAAAAATTACATATTTTTAATTGTATTGGAAAGTTAAATATGTGTATTTATGGTGGGGTATAGTAAATAGTGGAGGATAAAGTGATGAGGAGTTTTTTTTTTAGAGCATTGGTGTAGAAAAAAAAAACCTCTCATGAGAGGAATTGGATGGGAAGAGAGAGAAAGTGGGTAGAGAGAGATTGAGGGGTTTGTTTTCTCCTCATTGCTGATAATGGTCTAAAGCATATATGACTTCTTCTAATTCACATTTCATCTTTTTTTTTTTCCTTTTCCTTTTCAGGGGTGCATAGCTAAGAAGGTCAAAGAAGATGATTATAATTTTGGCTAGTTTTGTTGATGATTCTTTGCAAATGCAGGGGAAGGATTATTTGGGAAATGAAAAGTAAAAAATATTATGTAATTTTGTTAACAATTACTTATTTGCATTGAATATGGTTGTTTTAATTCTGATAACTTAGTGCACTCAAGTAACTATGGTTGACAGTCAACCTTTAGTTAACGGTGAGTTAAGAGCCCGGAATGCTAACCTTAGGTCCTCAAAGGTGAAAATAAAAATATGAGGTCCTTAAGGGTGAAAAGCTCAAAAGTTTAGGTCCTTAATGTATGCTCAAAAGTTTAGGTCCTTCATGTATGAGGTCCTTAAGGTTGAAAAGCTCAAAAGTTTAGGTCCTCAAAGGTGAAAATAAAAATATGAGGACCGCGTTTTTCACATTTGCGACCGCTACTAAAATCGGTCGTATTTATTAATATTTGCGACCATTTTCTATGCGGTCATTGAACGGTTGCAATAAATTAGCAATCGTCCAGTCGTAATAATGTCTGTTTGGACCAAGTGTATAACAACCACCATGTTACGACCGTTGACGGTTGCAATTATTTTTAGCGACTGTTTTTGCTATTTGCAACAACCGTTAGAGACGGTCGCAAAAATCTTAATTTTTATGATCAAGATCTAACTTTATTCGTATTGTAAAACCTTCAAATTAGCCTTGTTAATCATGCAATTCTTTAAAAACAACAAAACTGCCCATAAATACATCATATGATCATGACCAAGCCAAATCAAGCTAAAATAACCTAGGAACAACTAATCTACACTAAAAAAAACTACTACCTTAAGGGATTATAAACACACGTACAATACATGACTAATCAGTTATTATTTTTTGGATTTTTTATTTTTACTTTGGGTTGGTTTTGGACCATGATGGTTCTAACTTGTACTCCCTCCATCCCCAAAAGAACGACTCATTTGGCCTAATTTTAGTCCCAAAAAGAATGACTCATTTATTTTCCCAACATCTATTAAAATCACAAAATTACCAATATATCCTCAAATATTATTGTGATATAGCTCCTTCTCCCTATTTTGTACTTGCAAATTATTGATGATTTGTATTTTCACATACATTTGTACTTGCAAATTATGTTTCTTAATACCCGCGAATTCAACCCAAATGGGTCGTTCTTATGGAGACGGAGGTAGTATTTGCTATGGTTTGACTTAAACGGATTTATTTACTTTGGGATTTTAAATTTTGGATGGTTTATTAAAAAAGGTTTGAGATGAAAAAGCTACACATACATCAAATGTATGTGGCTCCCACAAGCCACATACATTATGACATGACATTATTTTATTGTTTTTTTAATGGGGCCCAAAATCCTCTAATTTTGATATTTCATTCAAATTTGAATGAAATTTTACATTTAACTTAAGGTTTGAATTTCATATTAATTATCATTTTCAATGTAATTAATTTATTAATTTTTTTTTTCATATTTTAATATTTCAATGGATCTACAGCATTAGTAAGACTATAACATCAACCCTTTATAGTTTATAGTTCATATTTATCAAAATGATAAAGTCAATCATGCGGTGCATTAGTTATCTCTTAAGACTAACTAATAAAAATTTCAACAATGAACGATGTAATTAGTTTATTTAGGAAATTAACAACTTGAATTTTTTTATTTATATTTTTATTTTTTTTACGGCAAGCAAAGCAAGCTAGATTAATTCAAGGACAAATTGTCCATTAAAATTTATGGGGAAATCTCACAAGGACAATGATTTACAGTAAACAGTGGTAATAATCGTTGTTTACCTCAGAATATTAAGAAATTTTGAGTTAAATAAGTTTCGGAATTTTCGATATTCAACAAGAGGTATTAATGTGGATAGTCAAGTTATTAATGTTTACCTCACAAGCTTAACTTCAAACATATAATCAAACATACAACCTCGTATATTAATAGCTTTGATAATGCATAATAGCTTGTATGTTTATCTCGTACATTAATAACTTAATTGTACATATTAATAGCTTTTATGTTTGATTATTGAGGTGAAATTTCTATTTTAAGGTGTGTCAATGCATAACTTCAAACATTAACAACGATTAATAATCAAACATACAACCTAGTACATTAATAGCTTGTTGGGCGCCATTAACAATGAAATTAAATAATTATTAAAGTAACAAAAGTAGTCAAAGTCGTATTCGTTATTAAAAAAAATGGAGAATCGGATGACCTCAGCAATGGTTGAAAAAGATAAAAGGTCAGCAAAAATGGCAAAAAAATCCCAATAATATCAAACACTTTAACTTACTATTTTATTTAGTAACACAAGCAGATAGTTTATTAACACAACAGACAAACAGTTATGTTTGGTAACCAAATATAAGAGACGTAGCACTACTTATTATTAACAAAAATAAAAAACCTACAAATGTCAATGTTTATCTTGCAATCTTGGTTACTAACGACGAACATAAATTTGCACCGATGAAATATTGTCTTCGAGTTCGATCCCTCACAAGAACATGAGTTTCCTCTTGTTCAAATTTTATTTGTCCTTTCCCTCCAATTGATATTTACAAAGAATGTAACAAATATTGTATCTTAAATCTTGTGATGAGTAAGTTATATTTTATAAATACACTTTTGTAGTAATAACAAAACCCAAAACAAATTGTGAACATATAATTATTAGTAATAAATTGATATATTGAATATAATTCTCAATAATTTTTCAAACTTTGAATACTATACATAGACCATAGTTTCAAAGTTACCAATTTACCCTTAATAATTGAACTTACTAAAACACATTAATCGTTATTGGAAATAATGCAACATTATATTGACCACATGTAATGATTATTGTTTAATTTTTTTTCATGTCCGAGAAAAATTGGCGACAAGTGTTTAAAATTATGGATGATGTGAAATACACATTCACTGAAAAGTCATACAAAAATAAAGTTGAATAAGTAAACATATAGTAATCGAGTTTCACATCAATATTAACCATTGATGTGAAAACTAAAAGTATATGATTAGTTACCGACGATGATGCAATGAAAAGTAATATATTTTGTTTGCTAAATGTTTATATGGTGAATATCAAAATATCTCACAATATTTGTTACTCCCTATGTGTTTTTTTAAGTGTTACACTTTGACTGACACATATAGTTTTAGGAAATTTAATTGACTTAAATAAAATAAGAGGTAAATATGATAGTTAGAATATTAAAAAATTGTAAAAAAAAAGATATTGGGGTTAATTGTTTATTGTAAAGTAATGAATGTAAGAGGAAAGATATAATAAAAAAAAAAGTAGTAGTGGGTTTGGGTGGGTACCATGAGAGGAGAGAGATATAATATTTTAATGTAGCTTTTCGCCTAAAAAAGGAAGTGTACAATTAAAAAAAATACGGCCGGAAATGGGAAATGTAACACTTAAAAAAACACGGAGGGAGTAGTAACATGTTGCTCATAAATTGTTACACATTAAATTTGGAACCAGGTTTGTATCTCATCCTTAATCACAACAATTTTTTTAGTATTGTTTCCTTAATCACATAATTATATGGTAACATAAAAATGAAAATATATTATTCGAAACTATATATTTTATTCATTATGATACTTTTTTCTTAGTTACAACCTTTTTCTAAACACAAAAAGTAATAACTTATTATAATTAAAAAAAAAATGTCGTAAACACATGAGATATTTAGCAATAAGTAACAATAATAATATTGTATGTAACCAATCATGATTTGATTTAAACTCTTAATTATTTTATTTAAATCTTCAAATGTATAAAGTAAATCTACTACACTTAGGGCATGTTCTATTGGCTGAACTAAGATGAACTGAATATTTTATAAGAGAAGGAAATTAGGAGTTGAACTGAACTGAATTGAACTTATTAGAGCTGAACTGATCGAACTTATTATAGTTGAATTATTGAACTAAACTGAACTAAATTGAACTGAAAATAATTGTATCAGAACATGCCCTTAGATTGTAACTCTCAAAGTCCTCAATAATGTTTCAATTTAGATGTTTACAAGCATATAATTCATTTTATTTATTTATTTTATGAAGGTTTTGTATCTAACACTACTTGTTTTTATTAACACTTTGTATTTATTGATACTATAAGCAAACTAGTCTATTTCCACATATTTAATACACCCTCCGTCCCCTTTTGATAGTCCCTTATGGGAATTTTTCACGGGAATTAATAAACACAAATAAGAATAGTAAAGGTACATTGAAAAGTAAATTGACATTG